ATGGGGTCCAGGGATTCAACCTGGGTTGGCTGCGTGCAAGCCAAGTGCCCTGCCCACTATTCTATCTCTCTGTCCTCCTTTTTTACCCCTTGTTTTAAATCTCACGTCTTTGTGACTTTCTGAACAGGTGAATACAACATACAGAGAAGTCCTCAACGAATTAACAAACCTGGTTGGGCCTAGCAAAATATCCAGTGTTTTTTTTTTTGTTGTTGTTGTTATTGTTGTTGCTTTTTTGCTTTTTGGGTCACACCCGGCGATGCACAGGGGTTACTCCTGGCTCTACACTCAGGAATTACCTCTGGCGGTGCTCAGGGGACCATATGGGATGCTGGGAATCGAACCTGGGTTGGCCATGTGCAAGGTAAATGCCCTACCCGCTGTGCTATTGCTCTAGCCCTCTAGTGGGTTTTGATCAGTGTTGGCTTTAGTTAGATGTTTCCTCAGGGAATCTTTTCTCAGTGCGGAAGGGAGAACTCCCTGACCCAGGGGCCCTTGTCATATTTAGGAGGAACTTGAGAAGAGGCGAAGGTTTTGTCTCTCAGGAGTCTGAGGGGGCCCCAGGTCGCATCCTGCTTGAAGTGGCCCAGGATTTGGGAGTGGGGAGGGTGGTGGGAGGGTGAGGATGTGCTTGGGTTTCACGGACAGTCAGTGGGGAACTGTTTTGACGCCTGCTGGAGAGCAAACCGTTCTCAAACCATGTTCTGCTTTTCACCACTCTCAGTGGTCTCTCATTGCTGTGTCAATAGTGAAATTATTGGCACTGAACATTGGAAAGCCTGAAGTCTAAGCTGTGACAGATGACCATAAACCAAGATTTTGCTTTTTTTTTGGGGTGGGAGGGTGGTGATGGGTGTTGGGGCCATACCCGGCAGTGCTCAGGCCTTACTCCTGGCTCAGCACTCAGGGCTCACACTCCTGGCGGTGCTTGGGGAGCCATGTGCAGTGCTAGGGGTCTAACTGGTGTCAGCCATGTGCACAATAAGCTCCTTAAGGCCCCTGTACTACCTCAGTGTTGTAGAACTGGAACCATAGCATCCAACAAGGCATCTCTGACTCCTCAATGATCAACAGCTTTTCCTCTGTATGTTTCTCTGGGCACCTGCACCTCCCGCTGCTTTGGTCTGTCTGGCAACAGTTTGTCGCGTGGGACTCAGAAACATTTGAATGTGATCAGTGCAACTGAGGAGTAAAATTTTATTTATTTTATTATTATTATTATTATTTTTGCTTTTTGGGTCACACCAACGATGCAGAGGGGTTACTCCTGGCTCTGCACTCAGGAATTACCCCTGGCGGTGCTCAGGGAACCATATGGGATACTGGGAATCGAACCTGGGTTGGCCATGTGCAAGGCAAACGCCCTACCCGCTGTGCTATTGCTCCAGCCCCCGAGGAGTAAAACTTTAATTTAATTTTATTATAAATTGGCATATACTTTAAATAGCACTTATGACTAGAGTCTAGTATATTGTCTAGACACTTGAGGGTGTATTCACAGAATCCCACACAGATGTCCATAGGCATTGGAAATATGTATTTTCATTTAAGGTTTAACAACAAGCCTTTGGCTGCACTCAGCAGTACGCAGGGCTTAGCAGGGCTTACTTTGGGCTCTGCTCTCAGGGATCACTCCTGGCAGGGCTTGGAGCACCATCTAGGGTGTCAGGAATCCAACCTGAGTTGGCCGCCGGCTAGGCAAGTGCCTTACCCGTTGTGCTATCTCTCTGACCCCAAATTCAAGCATTACTTTAATTGAAAACTTTTTATCAGCTTTTCTCCGTGTGCCTGTGTTCTCTCTTGAACACATCTATTTCTCTCCTCTCATATTTCTGTAAGTAAATGTCTTTCAGTAAAAATTATTTTGATTCACTAAAAAAGAAAAAGAATCTCTTATAACTCTAAATTGTCAGGTTATTTGTATGCATTTTGGGTTTTTGTTTGTTTGTTTGTTTTTTGGATCACACCCTGTGATGCACAGGGCTTACTCCTGACTTTGCACTCAGGAATTACTCCTGGCGGTGCTCCAGTGACCATATGGGATACTGGGAATCAAACCCAGGTTGGCCGTGTGCAAGGCAAACACCCTACCCACTGTGCAATCATTCCAGCCCCATAAGTATACATTTTATGTGCATATACCTAGATCCTTATTTTTAGAAATCAGAAAAATGTATAGACTGTATAAAGATGGGACATAGAAAACACGATAAAATATGAAGGCAGCTTTGTACAGACTTGAGATACTAGCAGTTTCGCTTCATGTTGAAAGATAGTTGGTATTTCTTTGGGAGGGGCAAACTTGGAGGTGCTGGGTACTACTCCCAGACGGGTGCTCCCAGGGCCCCATGCTGGCATGGAACCCGGGGCCTCAGTGCTTTGAGCTCTCTTTCGCCCAAGATTATGGATGTTTCCATGTGGTTTGTACCTTTGCTAGAAGGGATACCTGCCTTTGCTTCTCATCCCCTCTTTCCAACGTGCGTTCTTTATTCACCTGGAGACTCCTGAGAGAGTTTGTAACTAGGCGTCGCATTCTGGGTTTCCTAAGCCGTCTGTCTGGATCTCAGTGTGGGAAACCCCGTTTCATCACTCGAATTCTTAGCGTGAGATTTCACTGCAGTCTCCTCTGCTTCCTTGGCGCCTTCCCTCAGCTGATAGTTTCCCCCTCATTCTGTGCCTGTGCCCCAGCACGGGACTGATCTTCCTCCTCCGTTTCTGGCTCATTATTTGACCATGGACTCTCTTGTGTTCTAGACTCCCTGTCTTTCTCTGTCTCACGTCTGCCTAGGGGTGACTCGGTTCTTCCTGAGAGCTCCCTCTCTCCATGGCAACCTCTGCAGATATACCACCTGGCCCCGTCTGACATTTGTCCCCCTGGTTCTTTGGCTTATTTAAATTCTGCTTCCTCTCAAAGACGCCCCTTCCTCGCTGCTGTGAAGTCATTCTCACTGTCATTCCCTGCCATCCCCCATGTCTCTCTGCCACGTCATTTCTTCCCATCTCTAGAGATGTGCCCCCGGTGTGGACTTGTTCTCTTGATGGTTTCATGTTGCCTCGGCTGGTGCTGCCCAGATCTTGTCACGGGTCACTCTCCTTGTCCAACCCCAGCACAGAGCCCTTCATACAGGAAGAGATTATTTGCATCCGTGAGCAAACGAGCAAATGCACATACCCGCATTTTAATGTGTATGATTCCGAGCCAAAATTTTTGATGCCATTCTCGCATTTTCTCTTTTTCATACTCCAGACCAGTCAGTTTACTAAATTTCCATACACTCCAAGGAGAAACATGTTTGTCTTGTCTTGCCCAGTGATAGATCCCAAGTGTCCTTGCCACGGTGCCTGGCACCTAGGGGAGCATTTACTGTATTGCAGAAATGGTCTCATTTTTGGAGGGAGGTTAAGGGCTATCCCTGGCTCACTGCTCAGTGGTGATACTGGGGGTGCTCAGGGGACCATAGATGATGCCAGAGATGAACCTGAGTTGGCTGCATGCAAGGCCAGCTTGTTACCTCATATACTATCTCTCTTGCCCCTGCAGACGTAGCCTTGAATATTTCGCACATATTCAATTTATTTTATTTTCCTAATAATTTCACTTGGGTTTGTTTCACCAGAAAGTTAGGCATGGAGATGGGACATCATCATCCAGTATCACACAGCCATGAAGTGGCAGAGCCTGCACTTAAGCCCTAATCTTATGAGTCCATGCTCTTTAGCACTAAGCAGCCCTATCATCATCATCATCATCATCATCTTCTTCTTCTTCTTCTTCTTCTTCTTCTTCTTCTTCTTCTTCTTCTTCTTCTTCTTCTTCTTCTGCTTCTGCTTCTTCTGCTTCTCCTCCTCCTCCTCCTCCTCCCCTTCCTCCTCCTCCTCCTCCCCTTCCTCCCCTTCCTCCTCCTCCTCCTCCTCTTCCCCCTCCTCCTCCCCTTCCTCCTCCTCCTCCTCCTCTTCCCCCCCTCCTCCTCCCCTTCCTCCTCCTCCTCCTCCTCCTCCCCTTCTCCTCCTCCTCCCTTCTCCTCCTCCTCCCTTCTCCTCCTCCTCCTCCTCCTCCTCCTCCTCCTCCTTCTCCTTCTTGTTTCTTCTCCTCCTCCTCCTCCTCGTCCTCCTCCTTTTCCATCTGCTCCTCTTCTTCCTCCCCCTTTTTTTCCTCTTCTTCCTCTTCCTCCTTTTCCTTCTCTTCTTCCTCCTCCTTTTCTACCTCCTCCTCCTCTTTGTTCTCCTCCTCTTCTTCCTCCTTTTTTTGGGGAGGGTGTCACACGTGGCGATGCTCAGGGGTTCCTCCTGGCTCTGCACTCAGGAATCACTCTTGACAGTGCTCAGGCGACCACACGAGATGCCAGAGATCCAACCCAAGTGGGCCCCATGAAAGGCAATAATCTCACCCACTATCTCTCCAGCCCCCTGTCATAACCTCTTAATGCTTCTGTGCTGCCCTGTGTAGGACCCTTCCCCACAGCTCTCTGCAGCCTTGCCACTCTTTGTGGAGACTCTGAAATGAAGAAACAGAAGCTGACTTGGAAAAAAATGAGCCGGGGGTATAGTTCAGAGATGGCACACTTGCCTTGCACACGTGAGGCTCTGGGTTTGCTCCGCAGCACCAGTTTGCCTTGCACGCGGCTGACCCAGGTTCGATACCCAGCATCCCTTATGGTCCCCCGAGCACACAGGAGTAATTCTTGAGTACAGAGCCAGAAGTAACCCCTGTGCATTCCCGGGTATGACCTGAAAAGCAAAACACACACACACACACACACACACAAACAAAAACCAGAAAACACCACCGCCACCACCAAATCACAAAACTGGAAATGCATTTCTCTGGGGTGGGTGAGAAACAGAGACAGGACATAAACTGGGCCTTTCCTGCTGTGGGCCGGCTCTGCCCAGGGTGCAGCCTCCGGGGTCAGCTGATGGGACGTGCGGACGAGCTTCCCCCTCGGCTCTCAGGCGTCCCAGCCCCGACTCTAACCCAGCCCTGCCTGGTTCTTCCACAGACAACGGGGGCGGCCACACGCTGCAGTCCAGGACGGAGACCACGCCGTCCCCCACAAACAATGGGGGCCATCCCGAATACATTGCGTACGCGCTGGTGCCCGTGTTCTTCCTCATGGGTCTCTTCGGGGTTCTCATCTGCCACCTGCTCAAGAAGAAAGGCTACCGGTGCACCACAGAGGCCGAGCAGGACGTGGAGGAGGAGAAAGTGGAAAAGATTGGTAAGTGGTCGGGATGGCTTCAAGGGCCTGGGAGGGGCCGTGTAACTGGAGGAGTCATGGTGGGGGGATGCAGTTTCCATCTGAAAGAGGCAAAAGAACATCATGCGGGATGTGCTGAACCTTCCTCGCTCCCAGGCAAAGGGCATTTACTGCTGCTTGTCATCTGGGCAAGTCTTGTGTCCCTAGTTTTGAGGAGAAAGTGGAGGAAAATGTATTGGGAGGCTCCTTCTGGCTCAGGCCAGTGCATGGAGGATTGTATGCAGTGCCAGGGACCAAACCAGGCTCGGCTGTGCTCCCTGTCCCGTTTCTCAAGCTCTGGAAAAACATGCTTTAGCTCCTACCTGATGAAAACATAGATGAGGAGAGTCATCTCCAGCTGGTAGGATAATTCTGAAATTAAGATGCCTTTGGTGAGGGGCTGGAGAGAAAGCACAGGGGAAAGGGCCCTTATTTGCCTGAGACGGTTAGAATCCACAGCACTGTGGATGGTCCTCCGAGCACTGCGGGAGTGATCCCTGAGCACAGCACTGTAGCACTGTCCTCCCATTGTTCATCGATTTGCTCGAGCGGGCCCAATAACGTCTCCATTGTGAGACTTGTTACTGTATTTGACATATTGAATACAGGTAGCTTGCCAGGCTTTGCTGTGTGGGCGAGATACTCTCAGTAGCTTGCTGGGCTCTCTGAGAGGGGCGGAGGAATCGAACTTGGGTTGGCCAGGTCGGCCACATGCAAGGCAAATGCCCTGCCCGCTGTGCTATTGCTCCAGCCTGAGCACAGAGCCAGGAATAATCCCCGAGCACTGCCGGATATGGCCAAGGTCCCATACCTGCCACCTCGTAAAATGGATCTGGTGCTTAGCATGCAGAACCACTCAGTAAATATCAATCCTTACTCTGATTTTTAACAATAAACCTTTCTTTCCTTCCCTTTGTTGTTTTTTGTTGTAGCTCTCAAGGGTGCACGGGTGCTCACCCATGCTGGGGCCTTCTGGGGTTCCAAGGGCCTCTGGGATGACTTGGCTCCTGGGGCATTCGGGGGGAGTGGGGGGTGATGTGAGCCCTGAGCTCTTCTTACACTTTGATGGCACAGCCGACAGACTGTCCCATTACACAGCTTACAGTGGCTCTTCAAATTGGATTTAGTAAATAGAAAAAAAGAAAACAACTGCCACAGCATTGGAAATTAATTTACTTAACTGCTGAGAGCTGGCAAAATTTTAATTTGCACTCATGGGAAGAAAGTAGCACTTCCTCCACGAAGCCCCGATGGTGAGAGCGACACCTCGCAGCCCGGACACCAGCTGTTAATTCTTCATTCTTGCGATTGAGGCAAATCTGGCTGAATGCGCGCGTGTGGTGTCAGGGGTGGTACCCCGGTCCCCCATAGCTGAGGTGACCTGTGCAGCTCAGCCACATGTCTGGCCCCTTGAATGACATTTGGAGATGAGGGAAGGAAAAGTGAGATGGGTCTAAAACGTGTTTTGTAGTTTTACTTTTGTTGGGGGATGTCTATCTGTGAGCCTGGGGTTGATGGATGGGTTAAGTACTGACCCAGTGGGACCGGCCTGAGAGGATTAGGGACCCCAGGCCACACCTGGGGCCACACCGTTACTCTCAAGGAAGCGCTGAGACATCAGTTCTCTCTACCCAGGGCTTCCCCATCCTCTTAGAGGGGCAGTTCCTGCTCTGACTTTGACAAGAGGCGGGTGGTCAAAGGGCAGCTTTTGTTCAGCTTTTGTTGAGAGGTGACCTTCCTGGGAGGTGGCTACTGTAGGTGAGCAAGCTTCCTCATTCCTCACTGGTGATGGCTTCTTCCAGCCTTGCTGACCTTTGAGGCAGGGCTCGAGCCTGGCTGCAGTATGAATCATGTCCTTGCCAAGGACCCAACAAAAGCTGAGAGTCTGTTAGCGGAGAGCAGCGCCTCCTCCCCAGCCACCCTGTTGGGCACCTCAGAAGAAGCCTTCTGGGAGGAGAGGGCCCATGTCACTTGTGGGCATCACAGATGTCACACACCACCAAGTCTTCTCTGAGAAGTGGGGGGCCGGGGAGTGTCTGAACCTTTCCTCCTTCTTTTCTTTCTTTCTTTTAAAATTGGGCTGGAGCAGTAGCACAGCAGTAGGGCGTTTGTCTTGCAAGCCGCCTGCCCGGCCAAGCCGGGTTCGATTCCTCCGCCCCTCTCAGAGAGCCCTGCAAGCTACCAAGAGTATCTTGTCCACACAGCAAAGCCTGGCAAGCTACCTGTGACGTATTCGATATGCCAAACACAGTAACAAGTCTCATGATGGAGACGTTACTGGGCCCACTCGAGCAAATCGATGAACAATGGGAGGACAGCACTGCAGTGCTGTGCTTTTAAAGTTATTTTAAAAAATTATGAACTATTAAGGCAGTGATTTACATGGTTATCCATAGTTGGGCCTCAGGAGTAGAACGTTCCAACACCAGTCCCACCACCAGTGTCCACTTCCTCCACCAGTGTCCCCTGGTGCCTTGTGACTGACACTTTGAGGTTTGATTGCTGTAGCTTGAATCTCCTGTGGGCAGTGTTGTTGCCAGCTTGTGGGTCGCGTGGGGTTGTGGTATAGGCACATAGCACATGTGCTGTGTGGATCTATATAAACTGCAGAACTGACAATCTTCCTTTTTTTTTTCTTTTATTCCATCAAACTGCACATCTCGGTTCCTCAAGTGGAGGCTCGAGTTATGCTATTTGTTAGTTTGCTTTTTTAGCGAGAGGCTCCATGGCGGTGCTCAGGGCTTACTCCTGGCTCTGTGGTCAGGGTTCACTCTTTTTTTTTTCAATTTTTATATATTTTATTTTCATAAAAGTAGTTCACAGCAGTTCATTACAGATAATATTCAAACGTCAATCCCACTACAGAGCACCTCCCCACTACAATAAGAGGGAAGTGTGTGAAAGTTGTTGTCTTTCATTCTGGAGCTATTTGAGCCCGAATATAAGAGAATACAAGCAAGTATGTAAAACCAAACAAAAGTGTGCTACTTTTGGTAAGTGAGTTAAAGTAGAAGAGGTTGCGCGGCCGCAAATGCTTCAGGAAATTCTGCAATGCTCTCTTCCGGGAGCTTTAGCTTATATTCTCTGGGTCTTGGCTGTTGATGAGATTACATGGCTCAGGGGTGGGGGTGGGGTGGCAGTTGTGGGTATGACTGCCAGGGCTCACTCTTGTCCGCGCTCAAACAACCCTGTTTGAACCAGGATTAGCTGTGTCCAAAGCAAAGAACTTAACCCCTGTACTGTCTCTCAGGCTAATGAAACTTTCCAAGGACTGATGCCCTATACGAGTCTCTCAAGGTGGACGGAGTCTGGGCAAATAGGCAGATAGGCACCGTGAGTGTTTCCATCATTTGGAAGCATATTGAAATGATGGGAACACCTTAGAAGCATGGGCAGAAACTCAAGCCACGGGGAAAAGTATTTCATTATATCCTTTTATTTGGGGGCCATAAGCTCAGAGATCACTCCTGTTGGGCTCAGGGGATCATATGGGATGTTGGGGACTGAATCTGGGTCAGCAACATGCAAGGCACCCTACCCCCCTGCACTATCACCCTGGCCCAAATCATATTGTTCATTAATATAATATGACTCCAAGGGAAAGAGAAGAGAAGCGGAGGAAGCGTTGTGTCTCCTTCCATTCTTTTTTTTTTTTTTTTTTTTGGCTTTTTGGGTCATACCCGGCCATGCACGGGGGTTACTCCTGGCTCATGCACTCAGGAATTACACTCCTGGCGGTGCTCGGGGGACCATATGGGATGCTGGGAATTGAACCTGGGTCAGCTGTGTGCAAGGCAAACGTTCTCTCCCCTGTGCTATTGCTCCAGCCCCTCCTTCCATTCTTGCTCTTTCCCTGCACCCCAGAGCTTCAGGAGTAAGGTTGCTGACCGGTGTGGGGAGGTGAGACCCTGCTGATTCTTCCCTGCTGTCCCTCATGCCAGGTGTCGGGCAGTTAGTGCCCGAAGGAAGGAGGCCCAGGCTCATGGGCTGGTTGCTGCCGGGTGGTCTTAGGCAGGGACCCATCCTTTCCTCCCTTCTCTTTCAGAGCTCAACGACAGTGTCAACGAGAACAGTGACACCGTGGGGCAGATCGTCCACTACATCATGAAAAATGAAGGTACGGGTGATTGCCTCTCTGGGGACTGGACTGTCTTCCCACCTGGCCCGGTAAACCTTCCCTGGGCATCTGTATCAGCGTCGGCCTGCGGGGTCTCCTACATTCTCTCTGACCTTGGTGGGCCGCTTTGGGAGTTTCCAGCGCGGTTTCTACCTGTAGTGTCACACCGAAGTCAGGAGGGCCAAGCTGTTTCCGAGAGGAAGAAGGAGGTTTGTCATCAGGTCTCGTTCTTTCCTGCATTCCAGCACTGAGCCGTGTGTCCTTCCCGTCACTGCAGACTTTGCTGCGGGCTGTGTTAGTCTCAGGCGGGACCCCCAGTCCTGGGCACAGAAGAATACTGTAAAAGAAACCCACGTAGACAATTCCCCAAAGTGGGCTTCGCCCCAAGCTCGAGGCTTCCTTGAGTCCTGCATGGAGGATTTGCACAGGAAACCCAGATGCTTCAGTCATCCAGGCTTATTGTACAGGCTAAGTAGATGGTCCGGATTCCAGTCCCATGTCCAGGCTGGTCATCTCACCATTGTCCGATGCCATTTGTCCTATCCCTGATGCCTGGTCCAGGTGAAGTTATTCTGGTCCTGTCCATATCTGCCCACTCCTGCGTATGGAGGCCTTGGCCCTGTGCTGTTCTTCGACCACTGTGTGTGCTCCTGGTCTGGACCCCACGGCCGGACCCCGTCCCCTGTGTCCCCGTGCTGGGGCCACTGCTCTGGGACCTGCTGCTTGGCCTCTGTATCTGTGTCCAGCAGCTGCCTGTGCCCTGGGCTTGCTTTGCGTGTAGGAGAGAATTCCTGCTGTCCCAAGACAATTCCTGCTGTCCCGCCGTCCATCTGGGCAGAGGTGAGGGGTGGAGAGCACTTGGCTGGGGCTCCCTTTGATCACCTGCTCTCCCCCGCCCCCAGCTGTCTCCTTACCTATTTTGATGAGGTGACCTGCTGTTTTGTTTTGCTTTTTGTTTCTTGAAAAAAATCGAAATTGAATTTTATCAATGAGGTAATGTCAGTTCACAACACCGTACGCTTCATTTATTTTTTTTAAACTAGAATTGCTTTATTTCCACCCCCAAACTCTTTTTATTGAATCACAGTGAGATACACAGTCACATAGTTGTTCATGGTTGGGTTTCAGTCATAATACAGTGTCCCAACACCCGTCCTTCCACCAGTGTACATTTTCTACCACCAGTGTTCCCAGTTTACCCCCACCAGCACCCTGTCCCCAGCCTTCCTCTGTTGCAGACACTTTCCTGTCCTGTTTCTCTCTCCATCTCTCTCTGTCCATCTCTTTCTCTCCATCTCCATCTCTCCCTCTCCCCCTCCTTCTCTTCTCTTCTCTTCTCTTCTCTTCTCTTCTCTTCTCTTCTCTTCTCTTCTCTTCTCTTCTCTTCTCTTCTCTCCTCCCCTCTTCTTCTCTTCTCTTCTCTTCTCTTCTCTTCTCTTCTCTTCTCTTCTCTTCTCTTCTCTTCTCTTCTCTCCTCCCCTCTTCTTCTCTTCTCTTCTCTTCTCTTCTCTTCTCTTCTCTTCTCTTCTCTTCTCTTCTCTTCTCTTCTCTTCTCTTCTCTTCTCTTCTCTTCTCTTCTCTTCTCTTCTCTCCCTACTCCTTTTAGGTATTGTGGTTTACAATATAGGTGCTTAACTCATTTCAGCACTCAATTCTTGCTCAGAGTGATCATACAACTGTCATTGTCATAATGGTCCCTTCTCTGTCCTAACTGCTCTCTGCCCTCCAACCCCCCCATCTCCCCACACACACACACACAACTGTGGCAAGCCTCCAACTGTGGACCACTCCTCCTGGTCCTCGTTTCTACTGTGGGTGACCTTTCTGGCAGGCCAGAGCTAAATGACCAGTTACTTATCCAATTCCCTGGCCCCTCTCATCCACTCCAACGTAAGTGACTATTTGGAACATACAGTCCGTGGCTCAAGTCCATTCAGGAGGTCGCACCGCCATTTCCAGGGCTTCCTGTGTTGACCGTGACCGGCAACAGCAGACTGAAGTGATCCCAGGTGCCTCCCTTTGGTGCTGGTGGTTGGGGGAGGACTCATGCGCGCCAGGTATGGGCCCAAATCACCACTTGGTTGAGCTATCAGGGTCCCCTGCACATGTGAGCAGCACCAGGGATTCAACCCTTGACCTGATGATGGCACAGTAGGGGCTTGTCCTGAGCCACCTGGGGACCCTGGGTTTGTTTTGCACACACCTCACTGTCAGGATTTAAGGATGCTACCCTCTGGAATGGATTTTTTTTTTCTTTTTTGCTTTTTGGGTCACACCAGCGATGCACAGGGATTACTCCTGGCTCTGCACTCAAGAATTACTCCTGGCAGTGCTCAGGGGACCATATGGGATGCTGGGAATCAAACCCGGGTTGGCTGCGTGCAAGGCAAACACTCTACCCACTGTGCTATTGCTCCAGCCCTGGAACGGATTTAAACCCCGTCTTTTTATTTTTTTTAAATTAAAAAAAATTTTATTAGTGAAACACCATGAGGTACAGTTGTAGCTCAAATTTGTAGCTTAGAAATTTTTGTGCTTGGGTTTCAGTTATACAACGGTTGAGTACCCATCCATCCCTCCACCAGTGCCCATTCTCCACCACCACTAATCCCAGTATCCCTCCCACCCCCCATCCCCCCATCCTACCCTGCCTCTGTGGCAGGGCATTCCCTTTTGTTCTCTTTCTCTTTTTGGGTGCTGTGCTCTGCAAAAGAGGCATTGAGTGGCAATCATGTTTGGTCTATAGTCTACTTCAGCATGCTTCTCCCATCCTGGGCGGATCTTCCCAACACCCTTTATTCGGTGCTCCCTTCTCTATCTGAGCTGCCTTTACCCCTAGAGTGTGCGGCTGGCCTCCAAGCCATGGAGTAAACCTCTTGGTACTTATCTCGGCTATTCTTGGGTGTTAGTCTCCTATTTTATTACATTATGTTCCCCAGATGAATGCAATGTTTCTATGTCTGTCCCTTTCTTTCTTTTTGCGTAGCATGATACTTTCCATGTAGTACCACTTGTATGTAAATTTCATGACTTCATCTTTTCTAACAGCTACATAATACTCCACTGTGTAGATGTACCAAAATTTCTTTAACCGGTCATCTGTTCTCGGGCACTCAGGTTTTTTCCAGATTCTAGCTATTGTAAACAGTGCTGCAGTGAACAAACAAGTGCAGATGTCACTTCGACTATACCTTTTTCCCTGTCTGGGATATATTCCCAGGAGTGGTATTGCTGGGTCAAATGGGAGCGCAGTTTCTAATTTTTTGAGAATCATCCATACTGTTTTTCAAAAGGGCTGAACTAGTCGGCATTCCCACCAGCAGTGAAGGAGGGTCCCTTTCTCGCCATATCCGCGCCAACACCGCTTGTTTTTGTTCTTTTGGATGTGGGCCAGTCTCTATGATGTGAAATGTTATCTCATTGTGGTTTTGATATGCATCTCCCTGATGATTAATGAGGTAGAGCATTTTCTCATGTGCCTTTTAGCTATTCGGATTTCTTTGAGAAAGTTTCTGTTCATTTCGTCGCCCCATTTTTTTGATGGGTAAACCCCGTCTTTGTGAATGAAGGGTTCCTTTATCTGGGTTCATTTTTGATGACGGTGGGGGTTGTGTGTATTTTGGGGGCCACATCTGGTAGTTCTCAGAGGTTACTTCTGGTTCTTCATGCAGGGGTTAATTCTGGTAGTGCTTGGGGTACCACCCTATGGGATGCCGGAGGACCAAACTCAGGTCGGCTACGTGCAAGGCAAGTGCCCTCTCCACTGTCCTATCGCTCCGGCCCCAGGTATAGTTGGGTCTTGGTGCTCTAGGTGTGATCTCACTTCATCCCCAAAACATCCCTTTGAGTGTGCTATTATCATGCCCATTTTACAGATGGGGCAATGGAGGCTCCCTAGGGCTGACTTGGCAGTGTTGGCGAGCAGCCTGACTCTGGTCTCCTTCAGCCAGGCTGCTCAGCTGCTCCTCCTCTACAGCTGCCGCTTTCTGTGGCCACAGGATGTCAGACCACTAACCAGGTCTAACGGAAGGATGAAGGAGAACAACCGCAAATGACCTGCGTCCTTGGGTTTGGGTGCCCGTCTTCCAGAGGGGTGACGTGGGCAAGGGCGTGCTCAGACCCTGGGCCCTGCGTGTTTCTTTTGCATTAATACGCGCCTTTTCATACACACCAGAAATGTGCAAAGAGCATCTTGGCCTGCAGCAGCCTCAGCTGTTCGGCTTCACCGCCCTCCCATTGTTCCTCCAGTGCCTGGTGCCTGGTGCCTGTGGGGCCCCACCCCCACTCCGGGCGTGGCACGAGGGGAGCAGGGAGGCTTTGGGGACCGGGTCAGAGCTCGGAGAGCCAGAGCAGCTGCCCTGTGTGTGCGTGCTGTGTGGGGCTGGCGGGTGACAGCTGAGCACTGGAAAGAAGTCCGCTATGCAAACTTGAGCCGAAGCCAGGGCTTGGTCGCTTGCTGCGGGCCACGCCTGAGTGGCGGACTTTCCAGGACTCTCGGGCTTTGGGAACTGCTGCCAGGCGTTGCTGCTGAGGAACAGAAGCGACTTGCCTACCTCACCGCCCCTCAGGGTTTTGAAGTCATGAGTCTGACTTTGGGGGGTGGGCGTGGAGAGAGAGAGAGAAACACACTTTCCTATTTTCCTCTCCCGGGGAGCAGGCAGAGAGCCGGGCACCCTTGGAGAGCACCTTAAGTGAACCTCAGACAGTCTCCCAGCTGCCCGATGCGCCCCACCCAGCCCCGTGGGCACCCTGCTTGTAGATGAGAAAACAGCCCAGTGAGGAAGAAGCCCCCGGGTCCAGAGTCGAGTGTGGTAGCCGAATGCCAATCCGGCACCCCTTCTCACCACAGAGAAGTGTGTGGGCAACACTTGCTAACTTTCTCACCTCCACACACAAGAATAGGGGGCACTGTCCTCCCCTCCTCCTCCTTCTCCTCTTCCTCCTCTTCTTCTTCCTCCTCCTCTTCCTCTTCTTCTTTTTTCTCCTCTTTCCCCTCCCCCTGTTTTGGGGCCCTACCCGGCGGTTCTCCGGGCTGACTCCTGGCTTTGTGTCAGGGATCACTCCTGACAGTGCTCAGGGGACCACATGGGGTGCTGGTCATTGACCCTGGGTCGGCTGTGTTTGAGGTCGGCACCCTGCCTGCCGCATGTTCTCTTCTTTCTGAACAGTGGCCTTCTCCGGCCCGGAAGGCATCATTTCACGCCCACCTTGAGGGTCTGTTTGAGTGAGCCCTCTGATGCCCGCTTCTTCCCTTCGGCTCCCAGCGGTTTCTTCCGGGCTTCGCCTTGCTCAGTGGCTTCCCTGTCTCCTCTGATCTCCCCAGACACCCACTTCTACCTGTGGCCTCACTGGCTTCCCCTTTACTGATTGGCACCTCGAGGAGTGACCCTCCCCCACACCCAGCAATGCTGGGTGTGACCCCAATTACCGCCCCACCACCAGCACCAAAAAAATCAGACATTAGCAAATTGCAGCCGGCTCATTAGACATGGTTGATGTTAATTTAACCAAAAGAAAACAAGTCCTGAGTATACCATGATATAATTTTTTTAATTTATGCATTAAAGTATCGCAATTGAGTATGAGAAAAACTTAAAGGAATAACATGAAATCCAGTCTGTCCGTTCTCTTTTCCCCATGTTCATTTAGATTTTCTTTGGCTGTAGTCACATACATTAAAACATAATCATTAAAAAAAAAAACAACATAATCATGAAGGACCAGAGTGGGCAGGGCACTTGCCTTGCTCATGGCCAATCTGGGTTCAATCCCCAGCTCCCTATATGGTGCCCACATCCCCGCCAGAAATGATCCCTGAGCACAGAGCCAGGGAGTAAGCCCTGAGTATTACTGGGGGCGGCCCCCAAACAAAAATCAAACTCCCAAAAGAACCACAGTCACGGTATGTAGTCCTAACATAGAGCTTTGCCTCATTTTTTTTTTTTTTCGCTTTTTGGGTCACACCTGGCAATGCACAGAGGTTACTCCTGGCTCTGCACTCAGGAATTACTCCTGGCGGTGCTCAGGGGACAAGATGGGATGCTGGGAATCAAACCCGGGTCGGCCGTGTGCAAGGCCAATGCCCTACCCGCTGTACTATCGCTCCAAGTCCCTCAGCTTTGCCTCTTGAATTGGGCGGATGGGATCCTTTTTCATCTGCTCTAATGGTGGTGCTCTGGCATATGGCTTCTGTGTGGATCTTGAGGGTGGCAAATTCCTCGAGGTGTGCGTCTCTCCACGGGAGAGGTCTGCACCTGCCTGGCTTTCTTACTGGTCTCTCGGCCGCTGCCTCCCATTCGTTGGTCCGAGCAGTGCTGAGTTGGAGAGCGAGTGCTGGGATGGTTCCTGCGGCATCCTTGCCCTGTGTGGGAGCTCGAAAGTCCCCCGTGATTCCACCGCTGGGCTCCTTGGCCAGGTTCTTGCACCATCCGAAGAAGGAGCAGTCAGGAGGACTCTGATCGTTCCCCAGCACCCTGGAGTATGCATAGTGGCTGTTGTGGCATTCTTATCTCAGGGCCCGATTCATATTCTAACATAAAGGATTCCTTTATGAACTGCTATCATCACGGAGTAGGTTTCTGAAACTTGCCTTAACGATTGGGCAAACATTGTGGCGAACAATGAAGCCGTTCATCAGGGCTAGAGATTTGGACAGTGAGGGAAAGACGGGTGGAAAAAGACATGGGCCTTGTGTCTTGGCGCATCTCTCCCCATCCCACCCCCATCTCTATCTGGCTTCTCAGTCTCTGCATCTATGAAGTGGGAGTAATAGTCTTTGGCTGGGTTAGGGTTGTTGGTGCACAGCAGGCAACACAAATCAGCAGAAACCAAAATCAGGCTTCAGTGATGAGGTGCGGGGTGTCAGTAACCTGCCTGGGACCATTTACACTCTAAAGGAGGCCGTGGTGAGCGTGCCTTCCCCCTGGCAACTGTTTGAACTTCTGTTTGAACCGCTTCCCTTCGAACCGGGCCGTGAACTCTGTCTCGGTGCCTTTCACGGTAACCGTTTCCCCACTGCTCTGTTTACAGTTTGGACGTCTGGTAAATGACGGCCTAGTGTGACTGCAGCTGGAGATGATTGTGTGTTCACTTTCTCGCAGGGACAACGGCTCCTCTGAGTCCTGTTATTTGGCCGTGTTATGACTGTCATCGTCGTGGCGAGGGAACGGGAGGGCTGGGCCTAGACTCATCTGACGGATGGGTGCGTGGCCGCTGTGTGGGAGGAGGGCTTTCAGGGGGCTTCCGGAGTTTTTCTTAGGAAAAGCACTGTGTTTGGAAGTGCATTTAGGCAACTTCATGGTCTTGAAGGGCAAAAATATCTTTTCTGTGCCGAAGACTTCAAATAGAGGCAGGTAGGGTAGTTGGGGAGGGGGTGTTCCTCCCGAGGTGCTCAGGCTCATTTGAGGCAGTGGAGTGTTGCTCTGTGATTCTCGGCTTGTCCCCAACCTACCCCTCAGTGTCAAAGGTGAGGCTCTGGTTAAAAGTCAGAGGTCAGAGGTGAGGGACTGTCTCCAAGGCTGTACCCCGTGATGCTTGGGGCTATGTTGTATCAGGGATTGAACTGAGGTTGGCTGCATATAATTCCTGCATTATCTCTCTGGTCCTAAATTTAATTTTGAAAGATTGAGAAAAACTAACAAATTAATTATACTTATCCATTGGTGTTAGCAATTAAATTGTCACACTTAACCGACCACACTGAGAACATGGGTGTTGAAATGAGTTAATGTTCATCTCAGGGCAGATCATGTGAGGTGGTAAAGGCGAAATGTTTGTGTTGGTTCACACAGTAAATAGTGACTTTTTAAAATTCTTGCATCTCTTGAGCATTCTAACTAACTCAAGACTGAGAACCACACTTTGAAAATCAATGTGAAGTTGATAGCATTTGACTTTGCCCGTTAAATATGTAACAGCAACAGTCATTTCCCTCTCTTATTCTTGAGAGCTTGAGCACCCTACAGGTGGTCGAAGCACTCTTACATGTGTGTGTATATCTGTGTGCATGCATGTGGAGGGTATGTATCTATGTATATGCATGAGTGTGTATTTGTGCATGCATGATCTCTGTGATGTTTGTATCTGTGTGTGCATGCATGTGTGTATGTATCTCTGTGAGTGCATGAGTGCATATATCTCTGTACATGTAGGCCTGCAGTTGTTTCTTTGTGTACACGCATGTGTGCATGTGTGTATTTCTATTGTACATATATTTCCCTGTATACATGCATGAGTATCTGTGTGCATGCTCCTGTGTGCATTCATGCATCCATGTGTATCTGTTGCATGCAGATTTCTTGCATATTTCTGTCTGTTCATGCATCTCTCTGTCTCTGTCTCTCTCTCTCTTTCTCTCTCTTTCTTTCTCTGTGTGTGTGTGTTAGGGACCCAAGAAGAGTTTGGACTCAGTTTGCTCTTGTTGATAGCCTGATGTCCCCTCCTTCCATCTACTCAATTGAATTTTAAAAAATTTACATTAGAAGTCTAATTCAACATATATTGTTTTATGTGCGCATATTGCTTAACTTATGTGTGAAGAAATTTTAAGATGTCAGGCCGGAGTTAAGCCTTTGTACCATCTTGCTGGAGAGCTAAGCTGACTGGCCCACCAGGGGAGTAAGCCCTCCACCGCCCTGATGAAATATGGTGTAAACTGAGTACTTCACGGGTGAGCGGAGCTTAGGGCTGGTTATTTGGGGATAAACAGGTGATTGAAGTATAGGTCTTTGGGACATACAGTCTTCAGTCCATATTCAACAAGGTCAAAGGCAATATAGCATGGCATGTATGTGTCCCTGTGGCTTAAGGGAAGAAATGTCTCGATACAATGATTCAGAGCAAAGCTCGTTTCTTTGCCCAGATCTGTCCCTCACCCTGAATTCCTGCCTGTGGGGAGAGTCATGGGTGCCATGTTGTAGGGTTACCCGGGAAGAACTTTTCCTGCTCCGGGGCCCACGGCCTCATCTGTGCTGATTCTAGGTTACCTGTCTGACTAACTCCGCTTAATTTCTTTTCTTTTCTTTTTTTTTTTTTAGCCAATGCAGATGTCTTAAAGGCCATGGTGGCAGATAACAGCCTGTGTGACCCTGAAAGGTGGGTACTTCCTCCTGCCCCCATTCTCTACTGGATCTGGTTTCCCAACTTTGGCACGAATGACATTTGGGGCTGGAGAGAGAGCACAGCAGGTAGGGCGTTTGCCTTGCACGCGGACGACCCAGGTTTGTTTCCTCTGCCCCTCTCAGAGAGCCTGGCAAGCTACCAAGAGTATCTCACCCTCACGGCAAAGCCTGGCAAGCTCCCCGTGACATATTCGATATGCCAAACACAGTAACAACGAGTCTCACAATGGAGATGTTACATGTTACTGGGTCCGCTCGGGCAAATTGATGAACAACGGGGGGACAGTGACAGTGACATTTGGACCAGAGCGCCCTTTGCTGTGGAAGCTGTCCAAGCAGGGTGGGACGGTCCCCAGGTTTCCTGCCTCTGTGCCACAGCCCACGATGTCCCCACCCCAGGAGGAAGAAGAGCCCAGTCCCTGCTCTAGGGGACAGTGGTAGAATGAGTGACAGCATGGGGACTGGACCAATATGGCCTTCTCAGCCGCCTCTTCTTGTGCGAGTTAATGAGCTATTCTGAGCTCAGCCCCCCACAGCTGTTGGATGAGATGCCCGTAACACCGACCCCTTTGGGTTATTGTGAGGATGTGAAGTACCTCCATGATCCCCGATATGTGTGAGCATACACACACACACACACACATACACACACACACACACACACACACACACACACACACACACACAGAGCCTTGCAGGCTGCTCTCAGGTTGTTTCTTTTTTTTTTATATTGCCAGGCGAAGTGTGTGTTTGGTCACTGGGATGACAGCCCCAGCCCTCAGCTGTTGTGTGGTGACCACTCGTAGCTCCCAGTTGCCCCTCACTCGTCTCAGAGAGTTTCCTTTCTCTGCGGGCTCTCACTTCTAAGGCAAGGCGAGTGTTCGCCCAGGCCTGGGCTGGAACCAGGGGAGGATGGTCTGGGGCTGCTGGACCAAACTGTCTGGGAGGCCTTGCGATGGCCAGCAGGAGGCGCTATAGGAACAGGGCCGGTTTCTTTGCTTTCTGTGGTCATCCTTGCAGTATTTATATATAATTTTTTAACATACTCTTTACCAGTCCCACCACTGGGTCTGCCTCCCTCCACCAGGGGTAAGGGCCAGTTTTGCAGACCCAGTGCCCCAAGCCAGGCAGTGGACAGCAGGCAGAGCAGAGACAGAGATGCTCGTAGGCAGAGCCTGGACGGGATGGGTGGGGCACGGCTGGGAAGGTCTGGCATGGCCTGGAGTGCCCAGTGTGTGGACAGGACCAAGGAGGGCCACGAGGCCCCCAAAGACCAAGTGCCATGGCAAGGAGACCCCGAACACCTTAGGTAGGAGCACACATCTGCCAAACTGGAGGGTCTGCCGGGATGTGCCAGGGAGCTGTCCTCTGTCCCTTGACCCCAGGCACAGCAGCAGCGTGACTCGACCTGTCTCTGCTGAGTGATGAATGGCCATGGCTGACCTGACTCAGCCTCAGACAGCGCCTCAGCTTGACATGGGATTCCCCTCTGCCTCCAAAGGCCTCTGCGGGCGTTTCCGGCCCTCTAAAGGGCATCAGGAGACCGGTTGTGCCACCTCCTCACCGGCTGTGGCCACAGGGCAATGTGCCTTGGGGCTGTTGGGTGGCTGGGGACAGGCCCTTCGTGACTTGGAGTTCATTTCCAGCCCGTCATGGGCCACTGCCTGGCCAGCTGTGCTTTTTCTCTCTGCTTCCTTTTCCTGGGAACCAGGGCCCTCACCGAGGCCTCTGGAATAGCCCGCTTGGCCCCTTTCATTTGTGCTTTTTATAGCCTGGATCGGATCGTTTGACTGGTTTTCTTTCCGGTGATCAAAGTGACCTCAGAACTTTCTAGATTGCTGATCCATGTGTCCTTAGCTGTGTGACCTCAGGCAAGTGAGTAAGCTGTCTCTGAGCCCCAGGGGGGAGGAAGTGAGTACCCCCGTCTCAGGCTTTGTAACCCGGATAGCGGGGACTTAGAAGACTTTGCTGCTCCTGTTACTGCGTTTATCAGCATAAGCGCATAAGCGTTTCTCTGGAATGTCACTCTTGATATCTGGACTTCAAAGCTTTTTTCCTTTGCTCTGGTCATTACCTGGTCGTGTACATATTCTCTCTTCTGCTCCCCCGTCCCCCACGCACACACACATACACACACACACACACACACACACACACACACACACACACTCTTCCTTGATGGCTGTCACTGTCACTGCTGCTGCTGTGATACCTGGGCTTTGCATATTCAGTTACTGAAAGTAACTTACGTGGCCCTGGACACGTGGCCATGTGCGGTGGGTGCCTCGGATTGAATTTGATTCCCCACGTTTGCAAAGCAGGTGTTTTGCCGTTGAACTATAGCCCCTGGCCCCTGGATTGATGTCTTTCGTAGGTGCGGTTTTAGTTTCTGGTTTGGGGGGACCCCTATCCATAGTGCTCAGAGATCAGCACACTGTCCATCACTCCAGACCATTGAGTGATGTCCCAGCTCTAAGTAGCCAGGCTCCCCTGGTCATCTGATACTTGAGCGGGGTTTCAGGTTTCCTCTGCTTCAGAGCACTTTGATGCCAGCATTTCTCTGCTTAGAAATCCAGCGGGAGAGGGAAGCTTCTGCCCGCATGAGGAGGGAGAACAGTCATTTAGATGGCATTTGCCTTGCACATCTCCAACCCGGGTTCGATCCCCGGCACCCCATGTGGTCTTCCAAACCCACCAGGAGTGATCTCTGAGCTCAGAGCCAGGAGTAAGCCCTGAGCACTGCCGGGTGTGTTCCCAAAAACAAAATGGGAAAAATTAAAAAAAAAAAAAAAAGAAAAGAAACATCCAGTTTTAAACTGCACTGTGGCCTTAGAGTTGACTATTTCCCGCTGGTCAGCTCCTGTACTCCCTTTGCAGGGCTCAGCCTCGCCTGCAGGGGGCGCGCGCACGTGTGTGTGTGTGTGTGTGTGTGTGTGTGTGTGTGTGTGTGTGTGTGTAAGCGGGCTGCGGAAGAGCCTTTCTCTCTGTGGTCATTCGTGCCCAGGGAACAGCCTAGTAACCACACCTGCCTCTCCTCTCCCATAGCCCCGTGACGCCCAGCACTCCCGGCAGCCCGCCGGTGAGTCCCGGGCCCCTGTCGCCGGGGGCCACGCCGGGGAAGCATGTCTGCGGCCACCACCTGCACACGGTGGGCGGCGTGGTGGAGAGGGACGTGTGCAACCGGTGTCGGCACAAGCGCTGGCACTTCATCAGGCCTGTGTCCAGGTCCAGAGAGGCCCGCCCGCGGCGGCAAGGCGAGGTCACCGTGCTCTCGGTGGGCAGGTGAGTTCGGGGGCTTGGCTGGGGGGGGGGGGGGGGATGTTGGGGGTGGGGTCACCCGGTGTTAAAGAGAGGCCGTGTCCACCTAAATCGAAGATCAGTGTAGCTCTATGGGCTTAATATTGGAGTTTTGATTCGGGTTTGGGGTCACACTGGGGCTGTTCTGGCTCCGCGTACGAGGTCGCTCCGGATCGGGCTTCAGGGCACCGGGCCGGGCGGTGCTGGGGGTGGAAGCCGGACCTCTCGGGAGCGCAGCCTCTGTCCCACCAAGCTTCCTCTCCGGTTCTGACTCCTGCTTCCCCCTCCCCCGTCGCCCCCACTGCGGAGGGGAGTCTTGGGATGCGGTTGCTGGGTTAGCTGGTGGAGGTGTTCACGGAGGTGAGAGAACCGCCTGGGCCACAGAGGAAGAAAGATTGCAGGGGTTGAGGCTCAGGCCTTACCTGCAGCCCAGCCCTGGTTTGATCCCTGAGCACCACCAGGAGTGATCCCTGAGCAGAGAGACGAGAGAAAGCTCTGAGCATCGCAGCGTGTGGCCCCAATTCCCTGTACCCCTCCAAAAAAAGGGGGGGAATAAAAAGAAAAAGCACAGGAATTCCTGGACAGAAAAGAGGGCTTGACTGGCATGAAAACAACTGGAGATGGAAACAGCCATCCATTGGGAAGGATGGACAACAGCTTCAAAGAAAGGAAGTCATGGGGGGAGGGGGTCTGGTCTCATGGCCAGCCGAGGGGGCGGGGAGGGGGAGAGACACAGAGAGACAGAGAGAGCCTAGTTGTATACGAAAATACAACTAGATTATGTGATTATGTATAAGTGACACATTGTACGTAATCTAGTTTTCCAGGAGAGAGAGAGAGAGAGAAAGAGAGAGAGAGAGAGAACCAGCCTAGTTGTATACTAAAATACAACTGTCATGGTCACTGTCCTCCCATTGTTCATCGATTTGCTCGAGCGGGCCCAGTAACGTCTCTATCATGAAACTTGTTGTTACTGTGTTTGGCATATTGAATACGTCACGGGTAGCTTGCCAGGCTTTGCCGAGCGGGTGAGATACTCTTGGTAGCTTGGCGGGCTCTCGGAGAGGGGCGGAGGAATCGAACTTGGGTCAGCCATGTCAGACGCATGCAAGGCAAATGCCCTACCCACTGTGCTATCACCTTGTACATAATATAGTTGCTTTCCAGGAACCTCATAAGTGTTCATGTGGGAGACAGGAGCATGCACTGTTGAGGAACATACACTGAACATACAGCCCGTGTACAGAACATAGGGAGACACGTCCCCAGGGGTTTGTGTTTAGTCTGGTCACAGAGCAAGTAGGCTGGTATCGAGACGGGCTCTCCTGCACAGTGTCCATTGCCTGCCCTGTCCAGCAGGGCCTGGGCTCCTCAGAGCAGAAGTTATTCTCAGGATTCCGTGTCGGCCCCATCCCAGCCAATAGATGCAGCAAGGCGGCTTCTCCTGGGGATAGGTTGTCACTCTCAAGCCGCCAGCCTCGGGCCAGTCTGTTTCAGCTTTTCCTGACCCCGAGAGTCCCTGTAAGTCTTCAGGGGGAAGGAGAGGGGGCCAAGTTGCAAACAGACTCAATCACTTGACCACCCCCCTGCTCTGGGGGTCTGCTAGGGAGCTGGTAATGCCATCCAGCCTCTGGCCGGACCCTGCTGGCCAGCCCCGGCCATAGGTCTCCCCTCTGCTGCATCTTGGGCTCCCAACGCCACGTGGCCCCGAGCATCCACTCCCCGTGACTCTTGTGGGCCGTGCTCTCACCACGCCCACGCCCAGGCCAGTTTCTGGTGGTGAGAGTAGAGGGTCAGCACGTGTGTGCTAGGACCAGCGTTCAGGGTGGATGCTTCCCCTCGTCTTCTCCCTGGGCTGCCCTGTCCACTCTGGAAAAGGACCCTGACCTCAGGCACTGGTCTCTCAGGTGTCCTGTCACTGGCGCTTACAAGCCACTGTTTCTCTCAGTTTCCCCCTCTAGAAATGGCCCAACAGGCACTTTCTAACCATCTATTGTTCTGTAGACACACCCCCCCCCCCAACAGCAACTTCAGGAAGGGTGTGGGTCAGTTTGGGGGCACGGACCCACTCCAGAATGGTGGGCTGGGGACCAGGGCAGCTCAGCAGGAGGGCATGCGCCTTGGAGGTGTGAGACCCAGAGTTGGATCCTCAGAACTGCAGAACTGCAGAACAAACAAACAAAAGAAGACAAAGAAGCAGCAGTGTGGGCCATTGTGCTGGCCTTGGAGAGCAAAGCAGGGCCCAGGCTGTGGCCACACTGTTTTTTATTAAGAACAGAGTCATGGGAATTTGTGAATGCAGAATGCAAGGAGAAGCCCTCCCTCGTTCGGACAAAGGGTATTTTGTTTGCTTCAAAAAAATGCTGAGATGCCCGACTCACATCCACTTGGCTCTCCCGTGGCCCAGCCCGGCTGCCTTTGGAGGGTGTGTGACTGCGGGTGGGGGTGGGGGGACACGACACACTGGTCATGTGGCAGAGCCTTCGAAGAGAGACAGATGAGCCTTCAGCTTCTCCCCGTTCTTCTTCTCTCACGCCCTTAGCTTAGCCTTAGATCTCAGTTTGGGTTTGTTTGTTTGTGGAGACAAAGAGGGTGAATTTGCATTGGAGAGTTCAAAGGGAAATTATAGAGTAGAACTGGAGAGTTGATCCTGAATTCAGGGACTCTTGGGGGTGTACTGGGAAGACAGAAGTCTTTAACTTCTCCCCTGATCTTTTCTTTTGTTTTTGTTGCGACACCCTGCGAGATGCTCAGGGCTTTCTCCTGCCTCTGCAGGAAGGAGTCACTCCTGGCAGGCCCAGGGACCACCTGGGGTTCTGGGGGTGGAACCAAGGCAGCTGTTGCAAGGCAAATGCCCTCCCCACTGTACCATCGCTCCCGCCCGTAATTTCTCTCCTGATCTTTAAAGGTGACTGTCAGCCCTTCACTCTCCCCGGGAGCCCTGGCCTTGAGGCTTGTGGCCACACTCCTTTCGGTGTGATGCTTCACCTGGGCACACTCACCAGGGATCTCGCTTCCTGGGAACGGGCCCCCTCCTATCTTTTAGTTGCCGTGTTTTCTGGGCAGTTTGAGGCCAGTTTGGGCAGCCAGTGGAGCTGCCCGATCCCATTCAGCACATGGGGGTCCCCAGGGATTTGAACTCGGGGCCACATGCTTGCAAGGCAGGCCACAGCAGCCCCTGCACTCCTCTTGGGTAATTGTGAATGGAAATATTTTCTGACTTCCTTAAATCTTTCCTAAATGCCTAAATTTACTTGAAAAGAAAACAAAACAGGTTGAAAACTAGATGCAAGAACTCCAGACTCAAGCGTTGGTTTGTTTTGTTTCATGGTGGTGGGGGGAGGCATGTTACTCTCCCAGTGGTGCTCAGAGCTTAGTCCTGCTCTGGGGTCAGGGATCTCTCCTGTGGGGCGCTGGGGATCATAGTCTGTGTGGGGATCCGCTACATTGAAGGCAAGTGCCCGAAGCCCTGGACTGTCTCTCTAGCTTTGCAACCCATGCTTTGCCTGCTGGCAGCCTGGGTTCAATCCCAAGTGTCGCCAGGTGATACCTGTCCCCCTCACACACACACCCCCTCGAGGAGTATGGAGCTGGGTGCAGCTCTGAGCACCGCTGGGTCCAAAAACAGCAACAGCCAAGCTCAGTCGCTCGCCGCTGCTGCTCAGTGTGCGGCGGTCACCCTGGTTGTGTGTGCCGTGCGGGGGCCTGTGCTCGGCAGCTGTCTGTGGTTAAAACAGCCGAAGTTCAAGTCCATTATCACAAACCGCAGGTCTGAGGCTGGTTCATGTCTGTGTCCCCGTCTCCCCAAGGCCTTTTTCACGCTCTGTAAGACATCCAGCAGAGCCTTGATGACGGGCAGACTCGGCCGGGAACAGGGCGACAGGCGACAGCGGCTGGGTGGACTGTCCCTCACCCGGAGAGGGTGTTTTTCAATGCCCATGGAACTTTTTTGATTTTGGTTTGTGGCTTGGGGGCCATACCTGGCTGTTCTCAAGGTTTGCTCCTCCATTCTTTGCACTCAGGGATCACTCCTGGCAGGTTTGGGGGACCATACGGGGTGCCAGGGGTTGAACCCAGGTCGGCCACATGCAAGGCAAGTGCCCTCCCTGCTGTACTATTTCTCTAGCCCCCGGGCCCACTGAGTTGGGGGCTGAGTTTGCCTGGCGATCCCTAGACACATGGTGGGTGTCGCGTTTGCTGAGAATCCTTGTGTCCTGGCACGGCGTGACCTTCAGATCCTCCCTCTCTCCCCTGCCAGGTTCCGTGTCACCAAAGTGGAGCCCAAGGCCAGTCAGAAGGAGCGGAGAAGTCTGATGTCCGTCGCCGGGGCGGAGAGCATCAACGGGGAGGTGCCTGTGACACCTGTGAAGAGAGAGCGAAGTGGCACCGAGTAGCAGGTGAGGGGTGCCCTGAGGCATGGGGGGAGGGACACGCCAGCCTCTCTGGGCAGCATGTGGCAAGGACGTGGAATGCTGATTGCGGGACCCCGGGGGACTGGGCAAGGTTCCTCGTCTGCGGGGGGGCTTAGGCTGCACAGTAACGGGAGGCAGGACGACTTTGAGTGCCCTGGTGGGATGGTGGGGAGTGAGTCAAACTGGACATTCTGAGCCCACCTGTGGGGTTTGCTCCATGTTCCATGGGGGTCGCTCAATGTTGCTGTGTTATTGGCAACCATGGGTAGAAACGCACACTTTCCCAAGGCCAAAGCACCGTCAGTCTTGCAGTGTTGGCAGCTGGTGGATTTTCTTCAGAACTTTGTGCTGACCCAACCGAGAGTCAGTCACCTTGGGGCATTTCTAAACACTGCTGTCTTGTCGCCGTAACTTACCCAAGGCCGGAGCAAGCGGCCAGTGCTTTCTCCTCCCCTAAGCCGGAAGTCAGTTTGTTGGTTTTTAGATTGAATGAGGTTCTGTGATTTTATGATACTGTGAATTTCTCATGCACATTAAGTCCGCTTTTTTTGTTTTGTTTTGTTTTGTTTTGTATGTGCCACGGTTCTGAAATCAGCGCCTTCCGCGGAGAAATCATACTCGTTCCAACAGCTATTTTTTTTTTTTATTAGTGAAACAACATGAGGTGCAGTTGTAGACTTACAAACTTTCGTGCTTGGGTTTCAGTTATACAGTGATCGAGTACCCATCCCTCCACCACTGCCCATTCTCCACCACCAATGATCCTAGTAGCCCTTCCATCTCCCCACCCCATCCCCACCCCACCCCACCTCTGTGGCAGGGCATTCTCTTTTGCTCACTCTTTCCGTTAGGGTGTTGTAGTTTGCAATAGAGGTATTGAGTGGCCATCATGTTTGGTTTATAGTCTACGTTCAGCATGCATCTCGCATCCCAAGCAAGTCCTCCAAACATCCTTTATTTGGTGCTCCCTTCTCTATCTGAGCTGCCTTTTCCTCCAGCATGTGCTGCTGGCTTCCAAGCCATGGAGCAGACCTCCTAGTACTTATCTCAACTATTCTTGGGTGTTCGATTTCCATTCTGTTAATTTATATTCCCCAGATGAGTGGTCTTTCTATGGCTGTCCCTCTCTTTCTGGCTCATTTCACTTAGCATGATATTTTCCATGTAGAAGCACTTGTATGTAAATTTCATGACTTCATCTTTTCTAACAGCTGCATAATATTCCATTGTGTACCAAAGTTTCTTTAACCAGTCATCTGTTCTCGGGCGCTTGGGTTTTTTTTCCCCAAAATTTGACTATTGTGAACAGTACAGCAATGAACATAGACGTGCAGATGTCATTTCAACTGTACTTTTTTTTGCCTCTCCGGGATTTATTCCCAGGAGTGGATGCTGAGCAGTTTTAATTGTAGAAGGTAGCTCTTGGAAAAAAGACCCCCGGAGCCCGTGGTTGGTCACGTGCTGTTGGCTAAGCTGCATCAGCCCTTTCTTCCAAGCCCTCTCTTGGGGTTGGGTGGGGCACAGGTTCCAGAAGCTATGAGGCAACCTCAGAGCCTGGGCATGGGATTGAGGGGGAGTGGAGCAGGATGGTGTCAGCGGGGTGGTACCCCACCCACTCACACTGGGCCCTGGCAGGGTCTTCTGCTGTGCCTGGCTCCATGCGTGGCAAATGACATTTCCTCCAAAGGGCTCCGGGGTTTCGTGTTGGCACCTGAGAAGCACTCGTCATTATAAGCGGATTCACTTCCTGTCTCTGGCTGAGTGGGGGAGATACGTGGCTTTTGTCTACTCAGTTATTTGGTTTGGGGGTCTCTCTATCTCTCCTTCCCCCCGCCCCCCATGATGCTCAGTCCCAGCTCTGTGCTCAGGCCTTGCTCTTGGCTCTGCGGGGATGGGCAGTAGAGGAGACACCATGTGGGACCAGGGGTTGAACATTGACCTCCTTCGGCAGCGCATATGCTCAGCCCCCTGGGTGACTGTGTGGGTGGCACATGTCTGGTCTTTGCTCTGCTTGCTTTTGTTTGGGGCCATACCCAACGGTGCTTCTCCTGACTCAGCTCATAGATCACTCCTGGCAGACCGTATGCAGTGCCAGGGATGGAACCAGGGGCTGCCCCATGCAAGCCAGGCCTTACCTGCTGTACAGTATCATTGACCCTCGTTTTTGGTTTGTTTTGCTTTTTTTTTAGAGCCACACCCTGCAGTGTTTAGGGCTTTGGGCGATGCTCGGGGATCACTCCTGGCCGTGCTCAGTGGACGTTCTGTGGTGCCAGGGGCTGGCCTGGGTCAGCCACTCTCCAGTCGAGTGTACTTCCTGACAAAGGCCAACCGGCTTCCAACACTTGCACAGCACCAGTGCCCACCGCCCTGCCAGGCTGCTGTCTTCTGTCAGAACTGTCGCTGCAGTCTGTATTTGCCTTTTAAAATTTGTAGTAAAATTTGCCTGGTGGCATCCTTGGTCTGGGACATCACATAAATCTCAAGTGTTGGGCCTGTGGTTTGGCCTTTGTAGACCAGCATGGGGATCCCCAACCACCTTTCACCACATGCTTCTTTCTCTTCTCATTACACTCAACCCTCTTCCCTTCTAACTAGATACAAATCTACTTTTTTTTTTTTTTTTGGTGGGCTGGAGCAATCATACAGGATACAGGGGGTAGAGTGTTTTCCTTGCCTGTGGCCAACCCGGGTTCCATCCCCCTATGATGCCCTGAGCCCACCAGGAGTGATCCCTGAGTGCAGAGCCAGGAGTAAGCCCGGAGTACCGCCGGATGTGGCCCCCAAAACTCAAAATAAATGAATGAATACATAAAAGTGTTTTGTCGGCCCATTGGTGCCATTTCTATGACCCATGCTTGCTTTGCAGCCAGGCTGGCCAGGCCTTCCTTAGCTTAAGAATTTCGTCGCCGAAAGCCTCTCTGAGTCCCCCAACCCACTCATGGTTCCTAGTCTGACACCAAGGGTTTCCTTTACTCTGGTTGAGAATTTCTGCCAGGATGCAAGTGTTCTGTGTCTGTGCCCTCCAGTATGGCAGCCCCTAGCCTTCTACAGCTACGAACACATTCACTGGGACCAGTGCAATGTTCAGGAGTAGATTTTGAGTCTAGATTAATTGCAGTTATTAACCACGGTTGACTGGTGGCCGCCATATCTGACCCTGAGGTTCTTGATCATTGGTGTGGTGGTTCCCGTTCCTTGGTTGCAGGTTTTCCCCACCCTGAGTGTCTTAGGAAGATCTGGATGACTTTGTTGTCAGAGACCCAGGCTCAAGAATCAGTTCCTGTTTCCTGCAGTGTGAGCCTCAACATAGAGTTTATTCTTTGCCATCTGATGATTTCCTCATCTTTAATTCCGGAGTAATAGCCATCAACCTCGATACCCCACTTGTACCCCATGTTTAGGTCAAAGCTTCAAGCCCGGAGAATTGAAGCTCCTTGCTCTGAGTTTCCAGCAAGAACCCGATGAGTCTGTCCTGAAAAGGAGGCGGGAAAGTGCGTGTGTGATCGGGTCCAGCCAGGCCCTGATGTCTGCGTCTCCTGACAAGAAGCACGCTCTGAAAAATCCCGGGCTTTTGCAGACATTGAAAACGTTCCTCTGAGTACTGGTTGTTGGTGCCTCTGTTACCTGTGCTTCTCATCCTCAAAAGAGAGTGAGGGTTGGGATGTGAGTTTCCAAGTAGAGAAATCCTGTGATCTACCCCCCGGCGCCCCCCCCCCCCCCCCCCCCGGGGCCCAGGCCTCTGATTCTGGACCGATATGCGAATTTGTCCTAGAAGGAAGCTGGGAAGGCAGGAAGTTGGGTCTGACTCGCGCTGGTCTCCTGCTCTGCCTTAGCTTTGTGTTGCCCCCACCCCAACAGGTGTTTTGTTTTAAATTTGGATTTTGACTCAGTGCTTGCTTTTTATTATTATTATTATTATTATTATTATTATTATTATTATTGGGGCTGGAGCGATAGCACAGCAGTAGTGCGTTTGCCTTGCACGCAGCCAACATGGCCGACCCGAGTTCGATTCCTCCGCCCCTCTCGGAGAGCCCAGCAAGCTACCGAGAGTATCTCGCCCGCACGGCAGAGCCTGGCAAGCTCCCCGTGACGTATTCAATATGCCAAACACGGTAACAACAAGTCTCATGATGGAGACATTACTGGGCCCGCTCGAGCAAATCGATGAACAACGGGAGGACTGTGACTGTGACTGATTATTATTATTATTATTATTATTTCATTTTGTCTCACATCCAGTGATACACAGGGGTTACTCTGGCTTTACATTCAGGAATTACTCCTGGCAGTGCTCGAGGGACCATATGGGATGCTGGGAATCGAACCTGGGTCGGACGCATGCAACACTCCTCCCCGCTGGCCGATCGTTTCAGCCGTCAGTGCTTGTTTTCACTTGGCCCGTTTTATTTCCTTGAATAGGTTCAAATATACAAAAGCAAATATATATCTTCCCCCCTTTTTAAAAAAAAAATTAGATTGTTGGTACTGGGAAGTAGATTTAAGTTTTGTTTTGTTTGGGGGGCACACACTTAGCGGTGCCCAGGGCTTACTCCTGGCTCTGCATTCAGGACTCATTGTTGGTGGGCTCCGGGAACCATATGGAGATGAAGCCGGGGTTGGCCTCCTGCAAGGAAAGTGCCCTACTTGCTATGCTGTCACTCCTGCCCCAAAGACTTAAGTTTTTGAAATAGAAAGTTGTCAAGACTGTGGAAGAATTTCTCACTCTCTTACAAATAAAACATCTTGGGACCAGGGATGTGGTCAGGTGGCAGACTCCCTGAATGGGAACGCTGGCCCCTCCGGCTGGACCACTCCTCAGCAACCCTGGGTGTGGCCTTCAGAAGCAGAAAGCCTGTTGTTTGCTTCTGTCTTCTTTCCCTGGTTCTTTCCATCCTTCTTCCTTGGCTCGAGTTCTTCTTGGTGGTCATATCTATTGTCTTCTGCCTGATTTATTTTGGCAGTGCTGTGAAAATGGCTCCCCC